GGGTCTCGGGGTCCGTCCACCAAGCGTTTCCTGGAACGCCGCTCCTCCTGCGAGAGGGTGCAGCCCTCTACCGGTCGGCCGTGAAGGTACTTGTGGTTCTTCTCGGAAAGCTTTCCGTCTCGGAGCTCGTCCACGACCTGCGATAGGGGGGTGAGAGGGTGAGATGCAAGTTATGTTCTTGTTTTTGCTTGTTTGCAGTTCTTGCTACTTCCTGGCTTGCCGGCTGCTTTCGGAGAATGTGACACGGAGGAAGTTCCACGGACTCATGGCTGCGTGATCGTTTGTTGCTCGCGCCTCGTTCCACCAGTCGTCCTTGCACCTCACTCGCTCGAACAGCTCCGTCACGCCTTGCACGGCGCCTTCCCAGAAGATGCCCTGTCCGAGGTCGACGAGGGGATCCCGCTCCGCGGCTCCCGTGGCGGTCTTGCCGGGCGCCTGCAGCTTGGCGGGGAGGTCGGCCAGGAAGCCTCCTTCGGGTGGCGGGAGTTGGCGGAAGTCGCCGCTGAAGAGCACGTTGAGCCCGGCGAAGGGTCTGACGTTGCCCATAGCGTCGTGCTTGAACTGGCCGGCGTTGGGCACCGTGCGCCGCGTGCGGGTCTCCACCTGTCCCAGTAGCCGGGCGCTGATCATGCCCACCTCGTCGGCGATGAGCCAGCGCCAGTGGGCGATGCGTTGGGCGGTGTCCGGCGTGCACGCTGTCTCCAGGCAGTCCATGTCTTTGGTCAGGCCGCAGGCCGCGTGGAGCGTCTCGCCCTTGATGTCCGCGGCGTTGGTGGCCTGGAAGGCGGTGAACTGAAAGTCGATGCCCTGCACGTAGCCCAGAAAGTTTTCGAAGAGCTCCCGCACGTACTTGAGCACGTGGGTCTTGCCGGTGCCGGGGCGCCCGTGCAGCAGCCAGATCATCGGCTCCTCGCTGCGTCGGACGGTGGCGGCCGCCGGCATGAGGTTGTACTCGACGAGCACGCGCTCCACCACCAGCTTCAGGAAGTGGTGCTGCTCGTCGTTGAGGTCGTTGCGCACTTCCCCGCTCTCGAGCCAGGCTCGCAGCTGCCTGTTGCTGACTGCGCGGAGGTGGTTGGCGGTGCCTTTGTGGTGCG